CCCCCCCCCCCCCCCCCTTTCTTCTCATTATTTCAATAATGTCCTTTTTTCAGGGTTTTCAGAATCCGCAGTGAAGTTTTTCTGCATTTCCTATCGTTACCCAATAACTTCCATTTTCGTTCTCGTATTCATTCTCTTCTGCTTAATTCGCTCCAATATTTCAATGTATTGCTTTAGAACATTCACCCAATTTTCAATGCATCGTCAAAGCCCAGCCCCCTTCCCCTTCCTCCCAAAATTTCTCCAGAAAGACTAGCGAAAAGCAAGGGGCAGAACACCGGTCGAGTTAATGTCGTGCCACGCACCGGCGTTTCATTTCTTCCAGGCGTCTTCGAAAGAAACGTGACTCTGAGCAACGAAGTCCTCGTGCAGCAGGTGATCTTCGCTAGTGCAGAATCCCAGCATATCATGGCCATGCAGATTTACTTCCACGCGCCACAGAGTGAGTTCCTCTCGCGTGACCGCAACACCTTCGTAAAGTCGTGATTACCGAGTGGAATCCGTCAGATTCGAGCATGGAGTTGAAACTGACGGCCAGAGGCGACTTCACCACGGACGACCTGGAATTATCCGATCCCCTCCAACAAGACGGATACGTATTCTACTGCGGTCAGACCAAAGAGGTGCGCTTGAACGATGAAACGTATAAATGTTCCTTTGCGAAATGATTTCCTCGGAGCGTTCCGCGAAGATTCGGGTCGATGTGATTCCAGGTCGAAGACGAGGGTTTCCAGCCGTTCCCGCAACAAGTGTGCGTTCTTTGGCAAGAGCCTCCAGAGGACTTCTTTTCCGTCGATGTTCCAGGCAGCGTTTCCTTCTATTCGGCCCATGCCAGAGAATTCCAAGAAGCTCAGCAGGCCATGGATGCCGGTTTGTATATCTAAAGCTTTCCCCTTTATCTCGTAACATGGATGAAACAGTATAGTGGAGACTATTGGGGTCACCACTTGGCGGCCTCATGAGAAAAGTTTCTTCATATGAGGCGATGAGCGATGAATCGATTTTTTTAATTTAAGGTATTTTTTTCAGACGATACAGGGGAGTATAGTTGTTTAAATGAGCTCAGGTGTCCCAGGTCCAGACATGATAGAGATGAGGAATATCTGAAGCCTCCCGTTAAATCCTCTCTGACGTCTACGGTGGTATGCAAGGACATAGATTAAAAAGTAACCAGTGCAGTTTCATGGCTTATCGGTGGCGATCTTTCAATCTACGTTCATGCATTTACAATTGCTTCAGGAGAACTCTCATTGAGCTGGACCCTGGAAATTCTTGGCTTCCTCGCATTCTAATTTAGAGCAAAATATGACATGAAGAATCTGTTGCCGCTTTCTCAGTTGAAAGCCAGGTTAGAAGAGTAGATAAGGTCGGGTCGAAAGCAAGCCCAGAATAATGGTGGTTCGAGCCCTAGGGCAAATGACGTCACTTGTATACACCTGCCCCGACTGCCCCATTCTCGCTCTTGGTTTTCCTCTGATGTTATGATATTATTTGAAGCATAATGTCCACATTTCGTAACCAATTGCTCATTTAAAAAATCCCTTAAATTGCGGAAGGGACTGCATCGGATGGGAAAGAGGCGAGGAGGATTCCGTACTGGAAAGTTTGAGAGGGATGCGACTGTAGTGAGAATATATTATCATTTACGTAAACTGTTAACATGGGTCATTTGCCCTTTTGAAATGGCAATGAGAACATGCATTCATTGTCAGGCTTCCTCGTTCTGTGTTGCTGTATCCCCAAATTAAAGGAAGGGAGCTTGTTCGTCATGGTCATGGTAAATCATATGGTAAATTTCATGAGCACCATGAGGAAATTCCTTCTCACCACTTCAACTATAGACTTCCATTTCTTCCTCACCTTCTTACCCTTGCTGAGCAACTCAGAATTTAAGAGAATCCAGATGAACAGTCGCGTTCTTACAAATATTCGGGATACTCGATGGTTGACTTGGAATTTCGATTGGATCATCACGGCGAAAGATGAGAATCGACTCCAAAGGGTTGTTTTTGGATCCCTCCCTCAGTCCACTTCAGGAATTTCATATTCCGCGCCTTTCCACCCTATCGCTTTTGTCTTTCCCAACCCAGGTTCCTTTGGAACGATGAAACGAACGTTTCTCTCCGTCGGCTTCAAAATCTTCAGATGTTCTTGCAGGCGGCGACTGCACGTACGATCGGCATCTGCGAATGCTATGAACCTGGCAGCGCTACAATCTAGAGATGCAATCGTTCGAGTGCGATAGAATGAAGGCGCAAAGTACAATGTAATATGGGAAGAAAAAACTAACCGATATGACATTTTTAGCAAAGGAGAAGTAGACTAGACAAAGGAGATTTTATCAGTCAGCCGAGGAGAGTGCATACCAATGACGTCATTGGTTCTCGAGCTCCACCCCTCGCTGCTCAAACTTTTCCACTCTTCTAACCTGGAGTCGAAAGCGACCGGAGTCGCCTTCTCTGGTTCTTGAAATTGTTCACGAAGCAGAAATTATGCAGCAACTTCTCCCATCGCCTTCTTGACTGTTAACTTTGACGGGTTTTCCTATTCCCGATAGTGAGGAATCGAGACGATGAGGTCGTCCTGGAGGAACACGCGGAGATATGGCGAGGTCTCATTGTCGAACATGGCATCGAAATCCAAGGGAACCTGGAACTGGCACGTCTTTTATCTCCATCTTCGCTTGTCGACTTAGATCGATTCTCCCGATCTACTTGAAGTGCGTGAGCAGGGAAACCTACCGTTGGGTCTGTTGACCGTTTCTCCCTCCGCCACAGGCGAAAGTGATCAACGGAGCCAGATATTACATCCAGTGTTCGTTGGGCACGAAGAGCGAGATGGTGACAACGGGTGGCCTCAGCCCGGGAGGCCTATCGTACGGTGCCCTTGCCCTCGATTATCAAGGTCAGATCTCGAGGGTCGCCGAGCCCGTCTCCCACGCGGCGTGAGATCCCGATCTGGGAATCCACCGATCGGTTTTTTGCTCATAGGGCACAGCTTCTGGGACACGGAGACGTGGATGTACCCCAGCTATCTCCTCTTTCATCCGGATCTGGCGAAGAAGAGCGTGAAATACCGGGCCGTGCGAGTGACTGCAGCCGAGGAGAATGCTGCTGCACACGGCGATCAAGGCTGTCGGTTCGTTCCCGAGGGCGAAACGAGGAAAAGCCCTCGTTCCGTCTTCAAGGCGGTCTTCGTATCGCAGACACGCCGAGCTCGCGTTCGTGCCGATCGTCGGATTTTGACTTCGAGTGGCTTTACTCGATGCGAGCGTTGCATGCAGGACTCGCACGGGGACGCTGCATGCGACTTAGCCCTTTAACACGATTTCAGTCGATGAGGAGCCTTCTTCGAGGTCTCCATCCGATGCATTTTTGCTTCATGTGCTTGTATACAACCCACTCTAACGCTATAGTGTTGAATTGAGGGTTCCCTTACAAAAATTCTCTCCTGAGGTAAAATTGGGACGGTGAAACTGAGGTAAAAAAAAAAAAACGTTTTTTCCCCGCCTCTCAATCTGTCAGAAGACCCTTCAGGTAAAGATTATGGGGAAAAGCGGTGAAATTCGGTCGAACGAGGGGGTAACGTTTTGTATAGGTTGTATTTTGGCGCTATAACGAGGGTGGCGCTAAATCGAATCATCTATATACAGTTTTATATTGGCTTACGGGAATAAACTTCCACGAGAAAAAGTTGGCGATAAGCGAGGGTGGCGTTAAATCGAGTGGCGCTGTAACGAGAGCTGACTGTACATGACCGAGGGAGAGGGAAACCAACGCTGATGGTTCGGAAATCCTCGTGGGGATTCACGAAGGGGAGGTCATTGGCAGGGAAGGGGAGGCGTCGAGTTGGCTCCGGTTGGCACTCCACTAGTTCGACCGGTCGCGTAACCCGAGTTTCACGCCCGAGTCTCCGTTCGACGTGCCCACTATCGCATCGTGTTGAGATGCTTTTACTGCGCAAAAATCTCTGCCTCTGGGTGGATGAGAACATCGGATAAATGGTACTCGTCAAGCAGTCATGGAGATACTTGAACCTTCGATCCTTCCACATCCACCGGGACCTAAACGTAAACGTCGTGGTTGAAATTTGAGGCAAATCAACACGCTAAGCAAGTTAACATTCGAATAGATTGAGTGGTGACTGCTTGTTACCGCTTCCGAACGCCTAATGTATGAGCATTTAGGAAAATAGGATACCCCTCACCCTCCATCCCTCCCTCCGAGTTTGTCGATGTATGCATGAATTACTTTATTACTCTCCGTGGTGGAACTAGCTTCCCCTGGGAGAGTGCCTACACAGGGGTTGAAGTAACTCCGGATTGCTGCCCGGAAGTCGCAGAGTATCAAATCCACATCAACGGAGACATTTCCTTCGCCACCCGACAATTCGTAGCCGCCCACATCCAGGTGCCCCGAGTCTTCCACTCCACCCCCTCCCCCAAATCCTCCATCGTTCCCGCGAAATCCTCAATTCCGATATCGTTTGCAGAATGCCGACTTAGAAGCGTGGAGCGACTGGCTGGAAAGCATCGCGCGATTCTGGATCGGGCGAACCGAATTCAACGAAACGACCGGCTTTTATGATATCAATCACGTCATGCCACCTGATGAGGACCATCCGGACGTCAATAATTCCGCATATACCAACGTCGTCGCCGCCTATTCCATATTCTTCATCGAGTACGTGTCCGACCGTTTTGTCGTGCTTCCCGTCAGCATCGTTGCCTTGTAGCTTCAGAAAGAAGAGGGTGGTAAAAGAAAGTGCTACGATGCTTTCATCCTTTTTCGAAGGCATTTGTACTGTCTGATGGACAAGGTGCTCGGCCCGGAATGGGAAGATTTCATGGCTATCGCTCGACGACTGAAGTTGCCGTATGATCCCGAAATGGACTATCATCCCGAATACGACGGATACCCCTTAGGTTATTCCTCTTTTGTTTGTATTTTGGCGGTTTTTTGTTCAATTGCTCCGACCGCGCTTCAGAATGCTTTACTAAGGTGGTTCTTCGCAAACTCCAGGTGAAGAGATCAAGCAGGCAGATGTAATTCTCATGGGCTACCCGCTCATGTACCCGATGAGTGCATCGACAAGGCGGAACGATCTAGAGCTTTACGAGGATGCAGTGAGGGACGACGGACCTGCCATGACCTGGTCCATGCATTCCATCGGATGGCTGGATGTCGGGGAACTGGATCGGGCCAATGGGATGCTGGAGGAAAGCTTTCTACCTTACTACCGAGAACCCTTCAAGGTCTCTGTCGCTTGCATCTATTCGCGGGCGCCCGCGGGATGAGGCTGGTGGGCGGCTGGGGAAAATAGAAAAAGGGTTGGAGTCTATAAATGACAGGAATCGTATACTCGCCGAATGACGTGCGTCTTTTCTGTATATCGCGGAAGAACAGTGCTGGACCAAAGCCATGTTGGCAGTTGCCAGGCGAGCAACGATTGGGGAACGGATGGACCCATTGCACTGTAGGTGCATGGAATCCTTCAGTCTGAAGGAGCTGCGGGCCGAAGGAAATGGAGCCAGCGTCTCAGGCTGTCGCTGTAGTTTAGACGCAACATAATGCATATTTTCAGAGAGGCTGCAGTGACATCTCGGATGGCCATCTGCGAGGGATTGATTCTTTGGTTTGAGGTGTTAAAAAAAAAAATTCCTTGCGAATGATCCCGAACCCAAAGTTCTTAAATTCAAGTTGGGGTTTTCACTCGATAGGTGCATGACAACTGTATACTTACTTGATCTATTCGGGATTGCTAATTTTTCCCATTAAAAGGAAATGAAAAGAAATCTCCCACACAGGCTTACGCCAAAGAAGCTACTGCGATTCCCCGAGTTACTGATTTTGGCCAAAAACCTGGAATACTTTCCAGCTCTTATGAACATATCAAGTTACAGGACACGATAATGTCCCAGAGCGAGAATCGTAGTGCAAAATCCCCGGTTCTGTACAATTAAGAACTCTAGAAACCAGCGCCGTACCGAGGATACTTGGCGCCCTGTGCGAAATATCAGTCCAGCGCCCCCCCCCCCCTCTGTACCTTTCCAGCTTCCTCAGCACCAACAATACATTACGTATTAATTTCTATGTTTAATTAAATTAAATTCAGGATAATTTGCAATTTTTTTTAGTTTTATTTATATTTTGTAATAATCTGGCAGCCAATCGGTGCCCCCTCAGTTTGGCGCTCTGTGCGGGGGCACCGCTTGCACACTCCTTGTTACGGCACTGCTAGTAACTCCCGTTCAACATACTGCGATAACTCTGGAAACGCGAGAATGGAAAGGCGAGAGCCATCTTTAATGTCTCCATCCTGTAGATTGCGTGCATTTCCGTGGCAATGGAAATCAAGGTTTTCCTCCTGTGTTGCTCGATGCTTCGGAGTCCCTCTATAAAAACGAAAATATACAAACAATTTTCTCTTGCTTTTCTTTGCATAAGGACTTGATAAAACAAAGAATGAAGACTAAAGAATGTAATATTCATACATGGTGTACAGCTATATTATGTTTCAGCGAAAACTAGCCTCGTCTTGAATCTGGAAGAAACAATGCTTGAAAGCTTGCTCTCCATTATGAAGTAAGTGATTCAATGTCTGAAATGATGTATGGAAGTATAAGGAGAAATTTAGCTCCGCCGCTTTTTCGCGTTTGACATGTCACCTTGACCCAGACTGAGGACTGCGCATGTGCAATGGGTTCACATCCAGGAAGACTCGCGGTTCTTAATGGCTGCAACAACGAAAAATTTACAACTTTGCTATTAAGTCCCGGCTTGAGGCAAGAGAAAAGAGTGAGCAAACTGCTTCTAAGTCCACGAATGTGTCAGGTGTGGACGGAAATGCGAGTCGGGATCGGAGCCATGAACTTCATCACGGGCATGGGAGGATTCCTTCAGGGGATTCTCTTCGGCTTCGGGGGACTTCGTCTCACCCTGGCCGACCTCTCCGTTCAACGCTCCGCCCTTCCTCTTGATGCCACTTCCATGGCCTTCCGAGGTAGGACCCATTCCAGATATGCGGTCGCTTTGGCTATTCTTCTCTACTAGAAAGGTTCTCGTAGAAGCGTGGAAGAGGACGTAACGGCCAAGCCTAGAACAATATTCAACATTTGTTGGAAATCTTGAAGACAGACAATTATATATATATATTTTTTTCTGACTTCTTTTGATTTTGACATACCGAAAAAAAATCCCTTGATGAAAAAAGGGCCCTTAGATGAGCGTTTAATTGCCAGCATTCGATCATCAGTCGAGAGCCTCTGACAGGGTGGACAATGGCGACCATCTCTAGAGAAGACATGCAATTTGAGAGAGAAAAGGAAAATAAATTCTCTTTCAAAATTATTATTAATCATATGGGAAGTCTTTACATTTCCGTGGCTTCTTTGTCATCAGAGTAGTCCTCATCTGTGCCAACTTGCTCGAGAATTAGGTAAAACGGTGCTGCCTCGTAAATGATGTGGAATGCGATTCACGTTTTCCAGGTGTCAATCAACATTTTTGTATAAGATATTGGCTGGTCAAGATTCTGTCAGCCTCAGTTTCTTCGTCTGCTCTGGACGCCTGCACGGTCCTGCAAGAATCTGCTGGTATAGGGTTGCTAACACATTTCTTGTAGACCGGTTATTGAAAAGTACCTCACCTAGGCGCATATCTGAAAATTACTTGCTATTTGGACTTCGCTAAGGATAAAAAAAATTCAGGTACTTGTGCTTCGACTTGAGCAAAATTTGGTGGGGGGGATAGTGGCAGCCTTCTCGTGGCCCTCCCCGTTAAGCGAACCTGACGATTACCTGGTAATCGCTCAAAACGCGAACTAATGCCCCTACATCGGAGACTGAACGCCGTTTCCCGGCCACTCAGTCACAATAGCGACCGCGCAAAACGTTGGCCAAAAGGTCCTCCATCAGGGCCAGCTGAATCGCCAAGTGGGCCCAGCAATTCCGCTATGCCAACTAAATGTGGAGGGCCTATCCCGATCCAAAGGAGAAGTCATTGCGAGACTCATGCAGGAAAACAACATCGATGTCCTGCTCCTGCAAGAGACGCACGTGGCACAAGAAAATGTGCAGCGGCTCCAGATTCCTGGACTCGACCTTGTTTCCAGCCGATGCCACCCGAAACATGGACTGGCCACTTACACCAGGCCAACCATGCGGGACATCGTCGAAGACATCCCTACACCTGAAGACGGTTACGCCATCGCTGTGCGCATCGGGAAACTGGTGGTTTATAATGTGTACAAACCACCAAACACCCAGTGGTCTTCACCACCGCTTCCGCCATCCGTCTATCCAACAGTCTTCGAGGGAGATTTTAACAGTCACCACAGTTTGTGGGACTACCCGACCAACGACAACGCAGGAGAACAGCTTGCTGACTGGGCATCAGCAAATAATCAACACTTGCTGTTTGACGCCAAGCAAAAGCAAAGTTTCCGGTCCGCCCGCTGGAAGAAAGAATATNTGGGGCTACCCGACCAACGACAACGCAGGAGAACAGCTTGCTGACTGGGCATCAGCAAATAACCAACACTTGCTGTTTGACGCCAAGCAAAAGCAAAGTTTCCGGTCCGCCCGCTGGAAGAAAGAATATACGCCGGACCTGTGCTTTACGTCTACGGACCAGCATGGGACCCCACTACCGGCCTCACGGACAGTACTCGACCCCTTCCCAAGNAAGTTTCCGGTCCGCCCGCTGGAAGAAAGAATATACGCCGGACCTGTGCTTTACGTCTACGGACCAGCATGGGACCCCACTACCGGCCTCACGGACAGTACTCGACCCCTTCCCAAGGAGCCAACATAGGCCGAAGCAGTAGGTACAGCCGGAGCTTTAGGGCACGTAAAGTTCACGTGGGTGTGGCTCCACCTTGGACGCTGCCCGTCTAACCCCGGGGTTCGCAGAAGCAGTCGAAAAAACCGTGGGCCGCATCCCACCAACCCCTGAAAATTTCGACCGTTTCACAAAACTCCTCAAAACGGCTGCGAAGAAGAACATCCCCCGCGGCCATAGGAGCACGTATACACCGGGCTGGAGCACAGAAAAAGAAGTACTCCTCAGGGAGTACGAAGAGTCCGGAGACCCGGAGGTAGGTGGGAACCTCCTCAGGTCGCTGGACGCGGCAAGGCGACAAAGATGGATAGAGGCCACAGAGGGCCTTGACTTCACTCACTCCAGCCGCCGAGCTTGGAATGTGCTGCGACGCCTTGGTGGTGCAGCTCCCACAACAACAACAAACCTGAAGGTCAGCGCGGACAACATCGCTGCCCAACTGTTATCCAACTCAAAAACAACCGCGAGCCGGGCTACCAAAAGGGAGGTGAAGACTGCCCTGAAGGCATCCCTTGCTGCCTGCGTCTCGACGTCAACACTCTCAGAGCCTTTCAAGAAGGCCGAAATTGACGCCGCTCTGTCCGCCACCAAAACCCATAAGGCGGCAGGTCAAGACGGAATTCTTCCAGAATTTTTGAAAAATCTGGAAGAGCACGCACCTGGCTCGCGAAACTATTCAGCAACATCCTTAACTCAGGAAAACTACCGAAAACATGGCGAAGGGCAAAGGTCATCGCCCTCCTTAAACCAGGCAAACCAGCAGACGACCCAAAGAGCTATCGGCCAATATCACTCCTCTCAACAACCTACAAGTTGCTTGAGCGGGCGATGCTAACCCGGCTGGCCCCCATTCTGGAGAGCGCAATCCCTCCGGAGCAGGCTGGTTTCAGACCCGGCCGCAGTTGTTGTGATCAAGTGTTAGCACTTACGTCACACATCGAGGCCGGGTACCAACACAAGAGAAAGACCGCCGTTGCATTTATAGACCTCACAGCGGCCTACGATACTGTCTGGAGGGATGGTCTCTTGAAATTGAGCAACCTAGTTAGATGTGCCCCAACGGTGCGCCTTATTAAAGCGATGCTCACCGACCGAAGGTTCCGCGTGCACCTTGGCAATAAAACCAGCCGCCAACGCATGCTACAAAATGGTCTCCCTCTGGGCTCCGTACTAGCACCTGCCCTGTTCAACCTCCACATCAGTGACATGCCCGCGACCACTTCCCGCAAATTTGCGTATGCCGACGACCTAGCGCTGACAACGCAAGGTAGCACACTCGAGGAAACGGCGTATTGAGCTATTGTGGAAAGATGAAACTTGGTACATAACCACCTACTGGGATGCTGCATAAATTTTCAGACTTTCAACTAATTGTTTTCAAATAATTTTTTTGGCTCAGTTAATTCGAAAATTTTATTCCTTCTGAAATGCAGACACGAGAACTCCATGACATCCAGTTTCGGCCTCATACGATTCCTCTTCTTCCTGGCAGAAAGAAATGTATTAGGAAAACCGACCCACCCAAAGGCTGTGCTCTGAGGAGACACACACCAAAAGTTGAATTTTTCCTTAAATCAACATCCGTCCCAACAACAATCCCGTCCGTTATGCGGGCGCCGGCTCCTACTTTTCTATTTCTGCCCGATTCGCTGGAATATGAAAAATGTTGTGACAATGTTACGTCCCCCAGAAATTTGCCCCCCTCCCCCCAAAAAATACATATTTTGGAAAATTGAAATTTGACATTTGACATTTGAGCTCAGTGCGTCAGCATTCATGTTCAGCTTTCCATGTCTAAACAAATCGGGGAAAATTTTTTCCCTAGAATAGTAACTGGTGATGAAACTTGGTTTCATCACTGGGATTCCGAAACCAAGCAGGAGTCCATGCAGTGAAAGCACAAGGGATCGCCAACGCCTCGCAAATTTCGTGTTCAGAAATCTGCAGGAAAGATTATAGCCACTGTGTTTTGGGACAGCGAGGGACTACTGCTGCTTGAGTTCATGACAGACAAGTATACAATCACTGGCGATTCCTATGCTAGCACCATGAAAAATTTACACGATGCCATCAAGGAAAAACGCAGAGGAAAGTTGTCAATGGGGGTCCTTCTTCTCCATGACAACGCGCCCGTCCACAAATCATGGAAAGTTTAGGCAGCAGTGAGGGAGTGTAGCTTTCAGGACCTCAACCATCCTCCCTACGGCCCGGATCTGGCTCCTAGTGACTATTTTATGTTCACACATTTGAAAAATTTTTGCGGGGAAAAATATTTTCATGCAATGAAGAGCTGAAAGTTGCCGTTTCTGATTGATTTGTTGGACACGATGTTGAATTCTATTCCCAGGGAATAAAATCCTTGGAATCAAAGTGAAATAAGTGTGTTGAGTTGAAAGGTGACTATATTGAAAAAGAAAGTGTTATTTTTCCCCTCGGATGTTTCTTTCTTATTCAGGTAGATAACTTATTGAGTGACCCTCGTATTTTCTTGTCAGGTTTTTTCTTTTTTTTATGTTTTTATAAAATCATTAACCCTTTTGGAATATCTTATTGCTCTCATTATGAATGAGAGACTGCAAAGACCTCTCGTTCTTAAAAGTTATGTTCCGGGATCAGCGTTTCTGTTTGTCTAGCGCGGAAAAAAATTATGATAGGAATGTAATGGAGTTTCGGGACCTGTTACGGAGCAGATGGAAATGTAGTTCGAATGGTGAAGGAACGAACGAACTTTGTTAATTCAATTTTGAAATGACGATAATGTTTTTTAAAATTTAAGAAAAGAAGCTATTCCCTCTTGGCGCTTCACATAAAAATACTAGAGAATGTCATTCAATGCACATCGCCATCTATGAAAGACACGTTCATTTCCCAGATCCGCTTCCTCGTCCTACTACTCCTGTGTTCTCGAGGGACCGCATTGGATATAGATATCACAGGGAAAATGTTTAAGCAATTCGTTGCCGCGAATGCAACGATCCAAAATCCCCTCCTCACCATCACAGGCGTGGACGTCTTGCATAGATAGGTGACACCCGCGGACTCCGCTTTGTTGGTGACAATTCCAGTTGGGATGACTTCCAAGATGGACTACCTGCAGAATGTTGCATTATCAAATGAAAATACTGTATGAATAAATTACAGAGATATATGTTTCAGCGTAGAGAGTTAAGGGCTGAGTGTGTCGCAATAATGTATTGATATATTGGTTACGTTCTACGTGGGCATTCTGGAGAGATGATGTGATGCACTCCGTCCAGGCCATTGGGTCTGCTAACTGCGCTACCATATTCCCATTCATGCTCACCATATTCGAGTCAGGTTTTCTTAAGCTCTTCTGATCTAGTCTTCGTTTTAGTGAGACCTTCCATGGCACTGGCACGGTTAGTGGACCTCAAGGATTTTTTTCACATTACGGTGTCGAAGGCCAATCTAAATTTTGAAAATGATGGGTCAGTTGGGATAGGAAAGGTTTGCGGCTTTCAGCGCCGATTATTTTAAACACAACCTACCTCTCTTGACTAGTATTTACTTTCGTAAATCTTTTTCGCATTTAGTACTTTCGGCCAAACAGGACTGCGGCTCGGTTTATCTGTTATCTGGGGGCTCTGTTTATCTTGTCTTCTCTGAGGTTAGTTTGGGATTATAGTGGAAAACCAAAATCACTGGTGAAACAGGCTGAGTGTCTGGAATGAAGGTGATGTAGATATTCTTTAGGGGAATGCAGGGCTTGAGGCCTTCTCTTTCTACGAAAACGGACACTCTTCAGCGCGGTTACACCCGTTTTGAACGTGCGCGCGCACGTCACTCCATCCTAGCCTAGCCTACAACCCTCACCAATAAAATTGCTGCATTTGTTTTGTTTTACGATTTGCAGATAAAATGCGCACCAACGCAATATACTCACCATGAGCTTGCGATTGATATATCACAGGTACCATACCAATGATATATCAATCGCACGCTTCCGAAATGGATGCGTTGTCCATTTTAGAAGCCGTTTCCTCAGGATTAATTTTTAATTAGCAGTAACAGAAATTCCATTAGTAATCAGAGGTAAACGGCGTCTTTTAGATCCAAGAGACTGCTTAGTCCGATCCAAGAGAGAGCACTGAAGAAGTAGCATCAAGAAAAAAAGCTAATTAAGTATTAAATTAAAGAATCAATTAACATTTTATATTTTTTGTACAAGCCTACAGACGGTGACAATTACTGAGACCTCTCTCACCTTCCAACGATCTCTCCTTCATAGTTAAATGATTCAGTAAACTCGCTAGTTTAGTATATACAATCGAGTGGACGAGTTGCTTGACTGACTCTTGAACGCTGCCGATTGCTGTCCAACCCTAGAAGCACGTGACATTGAAAGAACATGGATTGAATATTGATTCATCAACTGGATGTTGAATCTACTTTGAATCAAGGGTGATTCAATGGTATGTGCTGCAAGGGAAGGGAGTAATCCTTCACAACGATAAGTCGTAGACACACAAGGCAAAAGTAACAATTGCAACTTTCATGGCTTTGAGCTGCATTGTTCCCAACAATCCGCAGAACAGCTCAGACCTGGGACAGTCGGACTTCCATCTGTTCCATGCCACAGAAGATCACCTCAGACGTAGGCGATTCCATTATGGCGATGACACTGCAAACGCAGTCGCCAGTGAGCCGGACACCTATTTCGAATTAGCGATTCGCAAACTTGCGACTCGTTGGAATAATGCATTGAACTTGGGTGAAACTATGTTGAAAATTAAATTAATCAATTAAAATTTCCAGATTCGTGAGTGTTCTTTTCCTTGAATGAAAAATTATTTAAATTAGTAATGATTCACCCTGGCATATTTAAATTCCATTATACATGCATTCTTTAAAGAACGATTTTGAAATCTCGATGCAAAGCATACATACTTCTTTGCACTTTAGAGCAGAATGAAATGAAAAAAATGTAATTGGCTCTGTGGAAACTTGGCTGGAACGAGTTGGAAATACTTGGCAGGAAAAAAATATCAACTGACTTTCTTAATCCCACAGGATTGTTAAGAAGTTCGGATGCCTGACGTGTGCTTGTTTCAAAAGATCCGGTTTATACGTGGAGTGTAGCGGCCCTTAAAGAATTACATCAGAAGTATCTTCGAGATTATCGCATTCATGGAATGCATGGGTCTCTGGAACCACAAGTTCAGTATGACACTGGCAAGGATGCAGCAGAACGTGAGTCGTGGGGGTCAAAATGAAGAATTTAAGGTCTTTTCTTGTCAGCTTCTTCTTTTACACGTATTTATGTTTCATTAATTTGTTAAACTTTCTCTTTCCTCAGAATTATTTTCTTTAATGGAATATGTTCTTGCTCTCACCGCGAATGAGAGATTTCAAAGTCCCCTCTTTCCTAAAAGTTACGTTCTGGAATCTGTAATTAAGTTTCTGCTTGTCTAACTTAGAAAAAAATTATGATATGAAAATAATATTTTCTGCGGCTGTTACGTAGCAGATGGAATAGTTCGAATGATAAATGAACGAACGAAATTTGTTATAATGATTTGGAATTGTTGATGAAGTATTTAAAAATCTAAGAGAAGAAGCTATTCCCTCCTGGCGCTTCACTTAGAGAGAAATACTAGAGAAAACCTAATGTAAGGCATTCAATATTTTGCCATCCATGAAGAACACGTTCCTTTCCCAGATCCGCTTCCTCGTCCTACTCCTTTTGTGGTCTGGAGTGACCGCATTGGATGTGGATATCACAGAGAAAATGTTCACGCAACTCGTCCGCGCGAATGCAACGATCCAAAATCCCCTCCTCAACATCACAGGCGTGGACGTCTTCACTTGTGCCGATTCATGTACTAGGTAAAGTTTCCCCTTATAAAAAAACCTCACTCATTTCACACGTGAGGAAAGAGTGTGGACCTCACATGTGGATTTGGTTGGGTGTGAAAATTCCACACGTGTGGCCCTCACCAACAGCTACGTCACAAAAAGGCAATTGCAATTGTGTGGAGATTCTCCTTGCAAAGGATTTAATCTGAACATCAAGGGAAGTTGATTTCTATTTCCCAATCATGTCAAACAAGTCAATAATGAATGAAATGAAGAATTAATTACTGAGAAATTAACACAGAATATTGCGGTGACTGCGTCCCTCTGATTCATCTTGGGACTCTCGTTGCACCTTCTTCTTCTTCATGCCTTGCCTTGCATCTTTGCATTTCTGTCTGGCTTTCAAAGTAACAACTGCCTTTGAAACTAGGAATCTCTTGCAAACATACCCTAGGAAGAGAGAAATGAAGAGAATACTGGTGAAAAGCAATACATGTTGCAATTCTCAAATATCTATATTCAAATACATTAATATGAGATCAAATTTCAACTTTATCAAATATAATTATAGATTGAGACAAGAAATTGTTCTACTTGCACAAAGACAGATTTTGAATTCTTTACTCCATGTTGCAGTAGCAGAAGTAAATGTGATGAATGTCAGGTGCATCAGTGGCATTTCTATTAAATGAAGTAATTAACACATTTGTACTCACCTTCAATGAACTTCATTTTCTTCTGATCCAGAGCTTCCCGGCCATTCCCACCCTTTGGAGTACACCTCCTTAGTTCATCTGGAGTGAAAAGTCCAGCCATCATTTTCAGTACACACTTTTCCCAGTGGGTTTCTGCAGCCATCTCTTCCATGAATTCTTGTGGAGGAGTATATTCCTGTCAAATAGATATAAGCAAAGACAAATATGAATACCTTGTTACCATCTGAAAGAGGCACATCTATAGCTCTTTAATAATTCTACTTCAGTTCCCATTATTATGCAACACTTCTTTTCAATATACATAACCTCCACCTCATTCACTTACATTGAGTTCAGAGACTAGTTCCACATATGCTTTGTCTTCTTCAACTCTTGCTTCCCCCTCTGGTGGGGTTGATGGCTGCATGAGTGCTTGTCCAGGTAGATTACATGGGCTGCCAGGCATAGAGAGTGCGGACGATCCAGCAATGACGTTTTGCCTTTGTCCTGGACTTGCATGGTTGGAGGCAGCCAAACATGAATTCACCAATGCCTCAAGTTTGCATGTGAAACTTGGAAGTTCTGCAAAAAAAAAGTGAAAGGGGCTGCAAAACTTGCAACACTTGTCAACCGAGTCAGACGTGTGGAGGACACCACATGATTTCAGGTTAAATTAGAACTTTGTTTGAATTGAGTTCACAATGGAATTGACAAGATGGATTCTACCATCAAGTAGAAAAATGAAATATCAATTATTATACAGTGAAATGACAATGGAGGGAAAATATGAAATTCGGAAGACAAAGCTCAGACTCACTTTCTTGGAGTTGAAGATTGGCATCTCGTAGGATGGCAACTTCCTTCAATAATCTTTCATTGCTTCCACTGAATGTAGACACCAATTCCCTTTGCTGATGCAGTTCCTTTTTCAGGGTATCAGATTCCTTTTTCAATCGCTGGTTTTCACATATAATCTTCTGAATGGTGGCATCATCATCATCATCATCATCATCACTCTTCACGCATTCAATCTGATTCCAAGTCTTGAAGTCACTTTCTTGAAGTTTCAGTGCATTCTGTTATATGATGTAAAAAAAAGTACTCCTTATAGGACAAGGTATTGAACATACCTCCCTTCCACTGTTTAGGTTCAACTCACTGTATATTTAGCACTTTTTTGGAGGACATCCTTGGCCATATCATCTCCGCTTCTCTTCCTCTTCAGACCTCCACCTTTGCCAATCATCTAAAAAATAAAATACAGCATGTGTGACAAATTCTGGCAACAATTTCCAGTTTCAGTACTACATTCCTGAAGTCAGATCATGGTTGTCATACATTAATATTGTCTTTCCCTTGAGTCTGAGGAATACTAAGTGTCTCAGTTAATTCCTTCTGCATTCTCTTATCTCTTCGTGCTTGTTCCTGTTTGTGCCTCACTCGATCAATCCGAGCTGCTGCAGAGTCCAGCTTCCTCTTGATTTCAGCTTTGTTATCTAAATGAAAGCAAGTTTGAACTCATGACATCATAGCTTCACTTTTCTGCATCCCAAGCTAGCTGTTTGTCAGACTCACCACTGCAAAGGAGAACCTTCCCAGGATACTTTGCCCAGCCTCCTTCAGGGGGATGTCCCCCAACAGCCCCATGATAAATGAGTCCTTCCCTTTCAGGGTCATTTATCATTTCTTCATCAACAACACAATCCAATGGAACAATGGACACTTGGTTTGATTCAGTCCAGTGTATAACACACTGGAACTTTGACTTCTTTGATGGAAGAACCATAGCTTAATGTAATTGCCTGAAACCTGGTTGAAAATGAAAAATACTTGAATGGGATCAGATGATAAATGATGTCATCACATTTCTCATTCACACACAGCAAGCCTGATAATCAAAATGAACAAACTCAACAAAAAATTACATCTGCCCACTTTGTTTCTTGCATTCCAGGTTCATGACAGACATTGGGAGTCTTCAGACCAAAATTGGTCATCCTGGTACCATTTCATTTGAGGATCATTGTCATATATATTTCTTTCCTCTAATTGCAAATTAGTAGTACCTCTGGCTCAGATCTTTTTATCAACTCATGCATATAATATAGGTCAATCAATTAAACCAAAGAAGACAACCAAATGCATTAAGCACAATGAAAAGCCCTTTAATAATAAGGACCTCATTCAAGAATCAAAGAAATGCTTCAGAGGCATAACACAAATATAACAATGCCCTTGGGGATGAGGATAGTTCATTATGTGAATACATTTCAAATCCACTTCATGGATGAATGCAAACTTTTGCTCAGTTGTACATTGAACAATGAATACATGCTTAATCATAGGTGAAATTGATTCCACTTCCATGTGATATCCACTAATGACAGCAGCTTCTGAAGTCCTATCTAACCCCTTCACTAGCAACAAATCTGTGGTTTTCATGAAAGATCCATCTGTGAGGCATACATAACAATCTTTTCTCTTAAAATTCCTTGAATATGCAAAGGTTGAATACATCTGCCCTCCAAAAACTGCTCTATTGAATTGTTGGACTATACTTGGTACAAAGCCAACTTTGCACTCAAGAGCAGCTACTTGTGTGGCACTCAGTGTAGCATTAGAATAATTGCCAAGAAAGGAAACTCCTGCACTCTTTTCATAAGTTTGAACATGGGAAAATCCTGCAAGCTGCTTGTAAAAGAAATCCCTAGCCTTATTATTAGCATGGGACAGAACCTCAGTACAATTCATGAGCCCTCTTAACATTATGAATTTATTGGTTATCTGAATTGGAATATGTTGAGTTCCATGGAAGAGCTGTAGAAGTGTCCCATTGCATCCCTCAAATGCATACGTGGAATACCCCCAAATAGGGCCCCAATTGAGTACTGATTCATGTAGATGAAGAAGTTGATGGACATTGAATGTGCAATTTTCCTTTCCATACAAATTAGAATATTCAGTGACAAACTCTCTGAGTCGTATTTCTGCATACTTGATGTCCAAGTGGCTTAAACATCTCCCATACAGGGTGTGAATAGCTGTAGACAATTTCAGGAAATGCATGTAAAATCTTACAGGTAGAATATTTGCCAAAAGAACTGGAGCATAGAAAAGTAAGAATGCTCTCCATTCTGAAGCTTTCCAGTGAGCACGATCACTGACAGTTCTGGGGTACCGGTGCAAATTAGAAGGCACTTGGATTTCACAAAGAGCACTGTCTATGGCATTTATATATCTATCCTGGCCAATGTAAAACTGCTCTTGGTGGTTACACTTATCAAACCAAAGGGATCCTAATGCCTTGGTTACACCTAGATCAACACAATGAAGGCTGTCTACTGCAAAGCCTTTCACAAGATCAAAGCCTGGCAGCCTTGCAAGAATGGATGTTCCCTTAACACCCAAATTTGGTTGGGAAGAAGTGGCATCCTTACCCAAAGTCAACATCAATTCATGTGTTCTTAGCTCTGAAGTGGTACAGACTCCCTCATATGCCCTCATATGTCCTTTCCTTTTGGACACATTCTCACCATTCATGAAGCACCAGGAGCAACCATGTGCTCCATTGAATTGCACTATTCTTTGCAATGGTGCTCTTGCAACAGAATCACAAGAGCATATTCTCACAAACACCTGAGACTTCACATTTCCTAGAGATTCATTAAACCATGTGATACCATGAACTGCTAGATGCCTAAACCTTTCAACAAAGACAGAAAAAAATGATGGCATATTAGGCTTTCCCACCCCAAACCACAAGCCACATAAGATGACATTTCGAATCCTCGTAAGAGGTTCCAGTTCATTGATGAGGACAAGTATAGGCCAGATGTCAAACCTTGAAGATTTAAAGACAGGTATGCCATCAGTATTAAGTGTCAGAGTGAGATTAGGAAAAGTAACATCATATCTCTTGCCATCACTTACATCTTTGATGCATTTTGAGTGAACCTTACAATGCTCTTTCACCATAGGCAAGGTCAAAATATCCCCAGAGTTGCTTTCCAAAACTGATTTAATCTGCTTCTCAAATGGAACATGAATAAAAAACTTTCCAGCCTTCTTCAAGTGCACTCTATCAAATGATGTCTCACACTGGCTGCATGATAGCATAGTTTCAACTGAATTCCCATTGCCCAATACCTCCCCACAATTAGGACAGTAAAAAATGTATTCAATGCCATCATGCCATCCTTTGAAGAAGTTCTTGAATTTGTGGGCAGTCTTTGGAAGGTGGTTGGGGACAGGCAATAACACATGAAGGAGTTCCAAGAGAGCTTCAAATGCTGAATTTGTCAAGTTTTGCATAATGTAGAAGCTCATAATTAGAGAGATGGCTTGCATTAATGTCACAGAACTGGACTCATAGAGAGGAATGGTGTAATCCATGAATGTCTGCAACAAACACCAGTAAAGTCAATCTCAGTTCAATTCCAAGGCTACTGCTACAATAATATTGATATTTTTTCTATATTGATCAACGAAGTTACATGTGAAATGCAAAACTTCTGTGATCATAGCTAAAGGAAAACATCAAAATAGGCCATTTCCTCTCACACCTATCAAAGTTCTTTTTTGCCCTTCATCTAACTGACACAAGTTAGCCTTGAATATTAATGAATCTCAATAGACAGAACTGGTTCCACAATAATGGCAAATAATGATCAAATACTGCTCATCCCAATTAATATTTAGAAATTATCACAGAAATTATAATAAAGCTCACCTCTTGGTATGGCTCTTCTTCCATTTCTTCCAAGGTGTCATAAGCATTGTGAAACTGAATGCCTTCATCATTGAAGTCACAGGAGTCAATCTCTGGATGTGCTTCATTTCCCCCATCTGAAAATTGCTCAGTTTGGCCAGAAGGACCTGTTTCTTCACAGGTATTGATGGGCTGATGAATTGGCAGAATTATTTTGGAATCTTCAATATGGTGTTCTGGCCAATTAATCCTGTCTCTTTCTTTTTGTGACTTTCGCCTTTTCAGCTCATTCCTCCTCTTTGTAGTATAAGGTACTTTAGATGTCTTTCCTTCAGTCATATCACGTAACCACTTATAGTATGGCCCTCTTAGCCCAGACATATCATAAGTCAAATGTGAAATCTCTGTGAACTTTAAAGGAGAGGCTACCTGAAATTAAGAATTAAAAATGGTTTGAGTAAGAGATAATGACAGGAGGTGTGATTCATATGCCCACAAAAGTTATCTTATTATGGAAGATATACACTCACGTCCTTACATGCACCTTAGAAATAGCATTGCAGACTCTTGAGGCTAACGTTAATTAATGTTAATGTTATATCTTAGTCTACGCCTACAATACTTCAACACACAACACTCAACTACGCACTCACCACTTATACTGCGCGGCATACTGGATAGTTTATGGCGTCCAGTAGGATGGCGCTGTCAGAAACTGCGTTGCAAGCAAGCATGGGTCGCGAAGCCACAGCAGGATGGCGGTGCTGTCTATGGTCAAGTTACTTACTAGCTGTACATACGAATTTACACAGCTTCATCTCTCAGCTCCCTCCTTTGACCCTTCAGCCCCCATTTTCCTCCCCCTATTTTGAATGATAACGCTGTCTCCCACGTATTAACTTGTTAACTAATCATCTTTACTCAAACATGTTATCAGGTGCAGCTTCCAATTCCCAATCTACAAACTTTTTCTCCGCATCCTCACCCCGTCCGCACCTTCCTTTCTCCCCCCCCCCCCCACCTAAGTCCTCCCCCCTTGCACACGATTCCACACCCCTACCACATGAATCCACACACCTACCACACGATTCCATACCCCTTCCACACGATTCCATACCCCTTCCACACCCCTTCCACACGATTCCACACCCATTCCACATGTGAGGGAGTGTGAGGTTTTTTTATAAGGG